AGAGTAAAGGTTAGTTTCGAGTTAAGATTAAAGCATATCTTATAGTAAAATTGTTTTTTTGATATTTTTTATTAATACATCAAGATAGATTTAAACTATCATTTCTTGTATTTTTTGTAATTTTCACTTTTTTTTGCTGTTTTTGTCTCTTTGGGCTAATCTATATCAATTAAAATAAATGGTTTTATTGGCTTTAAATCACATGATGGATATGGCTTTAGTTGATTCTAATCAGGCAATCAAAATCAATCACGTGATTAATGTGATTCTCTGCTTGTAATTGACCAATCAAATTAATAATAGATTTTATTATTTTTTTTTATTAATAAAAAAAAAAAAATACAAATACAAGAAAACTAATACTAATAAATCCACGTACGATGATTACATTACAGTACTATCGATATACTAATTATAGCATGATCGATACACTAATTACGATATCAATGATAGTTCGAACTATAATACCAATGATGCACTAATTATGATATCAACAAAGCATCCAATGATAGCTCCAATTACAATACTAATGATGCACTAATTATGATGCTAACAATAACTCTAGTGATGATTGAACAGTGAATTTAATCTAAAAAAAAAATTTGTTAGCTAAGTTTGAAAAAAAAAAAAAATTTTACAAACAATAAAGAAATCGGCGAATTATATGTCCAAAGTAATAATGTAAGTACAGCACCAACAATAGCTCCTACTATGGCATCAACGATAACTCCAACTATGGGACCAACAATGACTCTAAGAAAGAAACCTAAAAAAAAAAAGAAGCTTGTTAGTTAAAATAGAAAGAAAAAAAAAATTAAATAAAAAAAAACTTATCAAAAACTAATCTATTCTCTATAAAGGCACAAGACTATTGCAAAAAAAAAAAATAGTAAATAGCAGATCAAAAAAAAAAAAAAAAATACAGTACTTACTAAAACTATACTCAAGATCAAACCAGAAATACAAAAGAAGAATGCTGGACTATACCACAAGAGCGTCAGAGAAAAGCGAAAAGCCATACCACAAGAATGCTGAAGAAGACATAATATCATTTTTAAAAAAAAAATAGTTAGTAAATAGCATAGATAAAAAAAAGTGCAAAAAATAAAAAAAATACTTACCAAAAAGACTAATGAAGAAGAAAAGAAGTGATAGAAGAAAAAAAAAAGGAATCGAGCAAAAGAAGTAAAGAAAAGAAGAAAAAAATACAGTGAAAAAAAAAAGAAATGAAGAATAAAGGTGTGAAGAATAAAGAAGAAACAAAGAAATAACTGAGCGAAGAAACAAAAAGCAAAAAAAGAATAAAGAAAAAGACAGAAAGAATAAAGAAAGAACAAAGAAAATAAGAATAAAGATAGAATGAAGAAAAAGAATGAAGAATAAAGAAAGAATGAAGAAAAAAATAAATGAAGAACGAAGAAAAGAATAAGAAAAAAAAAAGAAAAAAAAGAATAAGAAAAAAAAAAGAAGAAACAAAGAATAAAGAAACAGAAAAAAGAAATTAAGAAAAAAAAAAAGCGAAAAAAAGGAGCAAAGCAATAACGATGACACCAATTATAGCACACATAACAACGGTACTAGCTACAGCAACTTCATGAAACAACTTGAAAGACAACTAAATTATTAAAGCTAAAAGAAAGAAAAATGAGTTAATTAAATACAAAATAAATCGAAACAAAAAAAAAAAAGAAAATAAAAAAAAAAAGAAACGGAAAAAAGAAATTAAGAAAAAAAAAGAGTAAAAAAAGGAGCAAAGCAATAATACTGACACCAATTATGGCAACACATATAATAATAGCACCAACTATGGTGACTTCACAAAACAACTTGAAAGACAACTAAATTATTAAGG